CAGAGCATCTTGCCAGGCACTGTGGCACACTCCTATAATCCCAGCACGTGGGAGGCTGAAGCTGGAGGATGTTTGTGAGTTTGAGTCCAGCCTGAGCTACACAGTAAGACCCTGTCTCAAAAAAAAAAAAAAAAAAAAAAAAAAAAAAATATATATATATATATATATATATATATATAAAATTTTATCATGCAGAATAATGAAGGACACACTTGCCATGTATGGTGGTATACATCTATAATCCTAGCACTCTGGAAGCCTTAGGCAGGCGAACCACAAGTTAGAGCTCAGACTGGGCAATTAATTTAGCAACCTAGGGAGACACTTGCCTAAAAGCAAGCACACACACACACACACACACACACACACACACACACACACGGATGCATGCATGCAAGCATGCACACATGCACTTATAGTTGGGGATGTAACTCTACAAAGTCTGGATTCGCATACTAATTTGGTTTCAAACAGAAGGACTTGACAAAATTTTGCTTTTGTTTGTGAACTCTGCATCAGGTGATAAGCATGATTGCAACCATCTTTCCTGCGTGAATACAAATGTGGCCATCTTCCCCTGAATGGTGGAACAAATTAAATTTGTGAACCAGGCCCTAAAGACTGTGGTCTGGGGTTGATGCTGTATTTGTGTTCTTGGATGTATTCTTTAAGATGAATGATCAAAAATACTTTTTCTGAAAACATTCTTTGAACTCTTTGCTGTTTATCTTAAGATCAGGCTTCTGCCCTTTACCTTATCAAGTAGGTTAATTTATGGACTTACAATATTTGAGGGAGTTGAATATGACGGATCTGGAAAGAAAAGTAAAATAACAAGCCTGTGGGATAAAGATATACAGCACAGATACATCTTGAAGTTGCAGTCTTCTTAAAAGTACAACTTTGCAATCACAATTTTCCTTGTCCTTTTTTATCTATCCTTATTTTCTCTGTCCTGCCTCAAATTGAGTTTCGTGTTTCATCAGCCTTCATTCTGGACCTCAGATATTACCAAGGACTTATTTTAGTCGTTAAAGCACAGGAATAATTTTATGGTTTTCTTTTTTTTTTTTAGTTCTTTAATTTTTATGCTAAAATCTTATTTTCTTGAATGAGTGATGAATTCATATGGCTCAAAATGTCAGAGATACAAGAGGGCAATTAATTAGGAGATTTTTAGCTGTCTTTTTAAAGCAGTGATATACTTTGCCCTTTCTGTCTCACTCCTTGTTATTGTTTTTATTCACGTCCTCATCCTTTCCCACTCAGGAGAGAATAGATATTTCAGTCTCATCTTTGATTTACTTTCTTCCTGGCTTGTCAGCAACTTCTTTTGAGGTGTTTCATGTTCTGTGCATTTCTTACCTACTGCCAACCAACTTCCCAAACTCATTCGTCCTGACCTGTTCTTTCAATTTTAAACCAGAATTTTGCAGTAACCTAGCCGGTTTCCCTCTTTCCAGTCTGTACCTTATTTCAAGCTTCATTTCATGAATTTTGTGTTTCTAATATCTAAGCCATGATATAAAAATCATCCTATAATACACCTTAAGCAACTGAAAACACCATTTAGATGTAGATGAGTTGGAGCATACCTGTAATTCCAGCACTCTGGAAGACTGAGGCAGAAGGACCAAGAGTTCCAATGTAGTCTGGCCAACTCAGCAACTTAATGAGATACTGTCTCTAAGTAAAAAATAAGAAAAGGGCTGGGGCTATAGCTCAGTGCAGAGGCCATGGATTCAGTCTCAGTAACATACACGCGTGTGCACACACATGAAAACACTAACTTGCTGGATACGTATTCATTATATCAATCTAAATATAATTTCTGGCTGTAGTCTTGTTTGCTTGTCATTATCTGCCTGCCATCAGCTCTAGGAAGTATAGGCCCATTGTTTTATTCAAGTCTCTACAAATTGGCCTTATTTTATTTTTCCATTCAAACTAAATTCAGTTGTACCCTGTATCCACTGGTCTTCTGTTATCTAGATTGTTTGCTCCTTTATTTTTATATCATTTTAGCCTCATACTGTATTTGGTTCCTGGGAAATGTTTGATTATGTGTTTCCCTAACAATAGGACAAATTCCACAACAAATTTTATGATTTTCTCTGTATAATTTTATTTTTGTTTTCCTTATTATGCCTGAAGTTCTAATTCACTGATTACTCTCTTTTACTTCCACTTTTCTGTATCTAGAGCGTGTTTGGTACTCAAGAGGGACACTCTTACTACCATGGCTTGTTTGTTGGAAATTAGAATGGGTGAAATTTTTTCCTTAGCGAGAGTATATCTGAAGTTTTTAGACTTGGTCTACCTGATCATGTAGTTTGGCTTGCTAATGAAGTTAGAGTTAAATACTTAAAAATTAACAAAGATAAAAGTGGTGAGAGCTGTGGCTGTAGCTCAGTGCTCGAGCATATGTGAGGCCCTGTATTATCATCAGCACTGATAGAGAGGCAGAGAGAGAGGCAGTAAATATTTAATTGATACTGGGGAAGGGATATCTTTTTAAATCTAAGCACAATGAAAATGGTAGATTTGTATAAAAATTGAAATAAAAAGCTGGGCATGGTGACTCATGTCTGTAATCCCAGCACTCGGTAGGCTGAGGTGGGAGGATCATTTCGAGTTCAAGACCAGCCTGGGCTACAAAGTGAGCTCGAGGCCAGCCTGAACTGCGTAGTGAGACCCCGTCTCAAAAAAGACAAAAATAAAATAAAATAAGATAAAAAAGATGTTAAAGATTTGAAGTCCTTAATATACAAATAACTCATACATCAATAAGGAAAAATTATTAATAAACAAGAAAATCATAGAAATAGAAGAAATAATAAGCAGCTGGTTTTATATAAGTAAATGCTTAATCTCACCAGCAGTAGAAAAAAGTGAATATCCTTTAGGCAGTAGATGCTATCAGATTAACAAAATTAAAAAATACTGGCAAAAGTACTTTAAAGCAAGCATTTACATGGCAAAAAGTTTACTTGGACCTTTGTAGAAAGCAATTTGGTAATACTTGAGAGTTTTACATTTTTTAATGTTTTAACTTAATTTCTTTCCTAGGAATCAGTCCTAAAGCTTTTAATTAGGGAGGAAAATGAAATATTTATATAACATTGATTATTTATCACAGTGTTTTTTTTTATAGTAGAGGAAAACTTGGAATCACTTAAATGCACAAAAGGGAGGAAGTATTTCACTAAGTGAAAAATTAGGCAATCATAAAGTTATAATTTTGAGTAATTTTTAAAAATTTTTAAAATTTTTTGTCTTTTTTTGAGGTGGGGTCTTGCTATGCAGTTGAGGCTGGCTTTGAGCACTTTGTAGCCCAGGCTGGTCTTGAACTCGCAACGATCCTCCCACCTCAACCTCCCGAGTGCTGGGATTACAGGTGTGAGCCACCATGCCTGGCTTGAATAACATACATTATATATATATAATTTTTTTTTTGTCTTTTTCCTTTTTATCGGTACCGGGGATCAAACTCATGACTGCCTACTTGCAAGGCAGGCGCTTATGCCACTGAGCTAAATAATATATTAAAGAAATGAGAAAATGTGATGCTGTGTTTATGCAGTTTGGTACGCAAACATATGATCTCATATGTAGCCAAATAATGTTATTTCTGGGTGGTGGGGTAGGAAATAATTTTTCCTCCCAATTTTAGGTGCTACTTTTATAATAAAGCATGCTATGTAAAACTTCTTGTTTGACTGATTAGTTTCATATATAGTTTCTGAGAGAGGAACTATAGATAGGCAAGATGATTTGGAGGACAGCCCTAAGTTAGGTCTACTTTGCTATTTTTTTGAGGCAAGAGCTCACTGTGTAGTTCAGGTGGCCTTGAGTGCACTGTGTGGTCTAGATTGCCAGACTATCCTTAACTTGTGGCGATCTGCCTGCCTCATCTTTCTGAGTCACCTGCTTTTTTTTTTTAATCTTCCTGTCTCAGACTCCTGAGTACTGGGATTCAATCTCATCCTCTGTGTGGCTTGACCATGCTGTTTTCAAAGCATCCATTTCCTTATTCTGTTAAATGGGACTCCTAATATCTAACTCACAAAGTTGTCAAGATTAGAAATGGTACTATATAATATGATAATCATATTCAAATGAATTTAAAAGCTAAACTATTAAGTGTGTAATTATCCTGTGAGTTAGAGATTGACTATAAGTTTCACTAAAAAAATGTAAATGGTAATAGTTAAAATATTTTAATTTTCTGCCAAGAAATATATTGTTTTCCTTCTCCTTAAACTTTTTCAGTTGTTCAGCTATCACCTCTATCAAGTTTCCCCTTGGAAACTTAGTCTCTTCTTGTCTTTAGGCATCTGTTTGTGAGTAACAGGTTTGCTTCTCTCCTGTGTGTTTAGAACTGTACCAGTTATATGCAGTATTGTTTCTCATATGGGAGAAAACAATCACCCACATCATTGTGGTCTGTTCTGTGGTTCAGATAAGAAACACTGACTGAAATGCCCCACACATAAGAGCACTAAAAAAAAGGTAACAGTTCCTATTGTTTTTTTCCCTGGAAGTTGTAAATAAGAGCAGTGGCTTCCTGGATTTCTTTACTTAGTATAAGCATCTTTGGGAAAGGGTATTTTGCAGAATGTGATCCAGTATAACTAGACAGACAGCTGTACGGCAGTTTGGCTCTGTGCTGTAGGACTTCTGAGCAGTTTCTCTGGTTTGCCCTCATGTAGTGTAGCAGCCTATTTCTTCCACTGTAGGGGGCGCCAAAATGCTGCTTCCCATGTGGATTGAGTTTCTCAAGTCAGTTCCCTCTCAGTAACTGTCTTAGTATCAGAAACTTATTTAGGACTCCAACTTAATACTTTGTCACAAATTGCTTTATGGTAAAGCATGCACTGCTGGCTGTTTATATCTGCCATTTGGGAGGGTTGATCTTTTTTTTTTAATATATTGGTAAAGATAACTTTTAATGTTTTCTGGTGAATATATTTTCATGACTGTTTCTTATTTTATTTTAGCTACTGATCTACTTCTTGCCTGGAATCCTATTTGTTTGGGGTTGGTAGAAGGTGTTATTGGGAAAATTCAACTTCATTCAGGTATGTTTCTACAAACTACTTAAGACTTGCCAAACTTAATATGGCATTCTCTGACATTGACGTTTTTGAAGATGCATGGAGATTCTTTTGTCTCAGTGTTTGGTCTGTTCAAATGGGTGTAATTCTATGTAGGTTTAATGAAATATGGATAAAACTTCAACCAGGCATGGTAGCACATACCTGTAATCCCAGCTGCTTAGGTGACTAAAGCAAAAGGATGGAAAGTTTAGAGCCACCCTGGCAACTTAGTGAGACTTTGTCCAAAACAAAAAAACCTTCAGAGAAACCATTATCCTTTGCTAAAAACAAAATAAATCAAACAGAACCTCATGTATCAAAAATTTTGCTAGTTGACATAACACAGTAATGAGCAAAAGCTGATTCGTTTTACCCTCAGGGAGCTTATAGTTTAGGAGAAAAGACAGATATGAATGAGTAGTCACTTAAAAATATGATTATTGACAATTATAGCAGATGCTGCAAAGAGAAGGTACAACTACTGTAGTACATTCACTTCAGGAGAGGGAATAGGAACACTACCGAAGGCAGGCAAGTGGCAGCCTGTGATTGCCTAGCTAGGATCAGCTGCCCATTCCTGATACAGTCAGTCTGGTCAGGAAACAATGTTAGTCTTTTAATATGCTGTATAAGCCTTTCAGGATTCCTGTTCAGAGCAGGAGATTGATGGAAAGTCTAGTAGGTCATTTGTCAAGCCTTCCAGTGTAAGGACAGATACCTGTGACCTAGGTTTGGAAAGAGGCTTTTTTTAATTGGTAAAACAACACCGAAACGACACCTAGGATTTGGAGGCAGGTTTACGTAGACAGGCACTGATCAGAATCACTCCCAGAATATCCGGCCCTGATATTCAGGCATCAGATCTGATGGTTAAGGGCTTATATTGAATAAGCAAGCAGGAAGTACAGAGGCAGAATGACTTGTCAACTGGGGATTAGTTTATACAATGTGCATCACCATGACCAGCTATGCATTATGGAAACCAGCTGTTTCTAAAAGGTCAGAAGCAACCAGAACTGGAGCAAACACTATTACTTGGGCAACTAAGAGACCGAAGTATACTGGCTGGGGTGGGAGGTATTTTCTGGTATAATAACCAGTAAGCAGGCATGATGGCATATACCAGTAATCCCAGCACTTGAGAGGCTGAGGCAGGAGGATTGCTGCAAGTTTGAGGCCAGTGTGAGCTACATAGAGAGTTCAAGGTCAGCCTGAACTACATAGTGAGACTGTCTCAAAAACAAACAGACAAACAAACAAACTGAATAAAAGCAAAACAAAACAGTATTATACAGTTGCATCCCACAAAGCTAACTGCAAAGGGCTAAATGGAATATTTTAAGCTCTATGTTTAAAAACCTTTTTCCTTGGTATCAGTTTTCTTTGGGAATAATGGAGTTTAACCCAGGGCCTTCACACTGAGCTACATTCATTAGCCCTTTTAAATTTTGAGACAAGGTCTTACTAAGTTGCTAAATTACACAGACTTAATTTAAATTTGTGATCCTTCTGGCTTAACTATCCAGAATGCTAGAATTAAAGGCTTATACTACCATGCCTGGAAATTTTTATTCTTTTAAAATAAAACCAGTGAGTATTTTGGAGTAGGCTAATTTTTGTAATTTAGCACATATTAGTAGAGACAATGTAATTTTCCTTTGTGGATTCTTTTTTTTTTCTTTTGCAAATCATTTTATTCAAATAAAAAGAAAGAAAAGAAGAAAAAAGTACAAAAAAATTTAAAGTACATCAATCAGGGGTAACAATGCTACGTACATTGCGCATTGTCATTCCCAGATATTCACCCAGAGTATAAGACATCTGCCTCAATTGTCCAAACAATACCAGTACAAATCTTTCTCTTCAGTAAAATCAGAGAAATCAGTAGAAAAATTATCTTAACTATTTTTTATGTACATGTACATACATATACACATTTTTTGTTTCATTTTGTCACACAAATGACACAATACGATGTTTATATGTGTCTTATTTATTTCCCTAATGAATATGTTCTTATGGTGTATCCATTTACCTATAAAAGTCTCGAGTTTATCCTTCTTTATGTGGCTGAGTAGTACTTTGTTGTATAAAAACACCACATCTTTTTTATTTATTCCTCTGTCGATGGGCATTGTTTCCAAGATTGGACTGTTATAAACTGTGCTGCTACAAACATGAGTGAACATATATCACTTTGGTATGATGCTTTTAATTCTTTTGGGAAGATACCCAGAAGATGAATAGCTGGGTCAAATGGGACCTCCAATTCTAGTTTTTTGAGGAATCTCTACATTGATTTCCACAGTGGTTGCAACAGTCTGTATTCCCACCATCAGTGGAAAAGGGTTCCTTTTTCCCCACGGCCCCTCCAGCATTTGTTAATGGTTGATTTCTTGATACTAGCCATTTTCCCCAGGTGAAGTGAAATCAGTGTTGCTTTAATTTGCATCTTTTGGATAATCAGTGATATTGAACATTTTTTCACATATCTATTTGTTGTGTGTATTTCTTCATATGAGAAGTATGTATTCATCTCAGATGCCCATTTTAGAATTGGGCCTTTAAATCTGGGAAGACTGATTTTTTTTGAGTTCTTTATATGTTCTCAATAGTAATCCTTTATCTGAGAACAACTGGCAAACGTTTTCTGCCACATTGTGGATTGCCTCTTCACTCTGTTGGTGGTTTCTCTTGCTGTGCAAAAGCTTTTCAGTAGAGATCCCAGTTGTTGATTTTTTGTGATAGTTTCTGTGCAATTGGGGTTTTGTTCATAAAGTCTTTGCCTATACCAATGTCTTCAAGAGTTTTATCTACTCTATCTTCCAGAAGATTTAATGTTTTTGTTTAACATTAAGACCTTTGATCATTCTGAATTTAGCTTAGTACATGGGGAAAGATACGGGTCCAGTTTTATTCTTCGGCATGTGCAGAGCCAGTTTTTCCTACACCATTTATTAAAAGAGGCTATCTTTTTCCCAGTGAATGTGTTTGGCACCTTTGTTAAAGATAAAGTGGCTTAGTGTGTCTAGAGTTGTTTCTGAGTCTTCTAGTCTCTTCCATTGATCTTCAAGTCTTTTTTTTTTTTTTTTTTGCCAATATCATGCTGTTTTTATCACAGTAGCTTTGTAGTATAATTTTAACTCAGGGATTGTGATGTTTCCTGTATTGTCTTTGTTCCCCAAGATTGCCTTTGCTATTCTAGCTCTCTTGTGGTTTCAGATGAATTTTCAGATTGTTTCCTCTAATTCTGTGAGATGTGCTATTAGAATTTTTTTTGTGTGCTATTAGAATTTTGATTGAGACTGTGTTGAATCTGTATTATAGTTTTGCAAGTATGGCCATTTTCACTTTATTGGTTCTTCCTACCCAAGAGCATGGGGTATCTCTCTATTTTCTAATGTCCTCTTCAATCTCTTTTTTCAGAATATGGTAATTTTCAATGTAGAGGTCTTTTATATCTTTTTTAGATTGATTCTTAGGTATTTCATTTTTTTAGATGCTATTTTAAAAGGTATCATTTTCCTGATTTCTCTCTCAATGAGTTTGTTATTCATGTACAAGAAGGCTATTGATTTTTGAGTGCTGACTTTGTAACCAGCTACGTTACTGAACTTGCTTATTAAATCTAGAAATCTTTTGGTGGAGTCTTTGGTGATCTTCTAAGTAGAGCATCATGTCACCTGCAAATAATGATAATTTAACTTCTTCCTTTCCTATCTTTATTCCTTTTATTTCTTTCTCTTGTCTAATTGCTTTTGCTAAAGTTTCCAGGACTATGTTGAATAAGAGTGGAGACAGTGGACATCTTGTCTTGATGTTGGCTGTTCGTTTGTTATAGATGGCCTTTATTAGATTGAGATAAAGACCACCTATTCCAATTTTCTGTAGGGTTTTCATCATGAGTGGGTGCTGGACTTTGTCCAAAGCTTTTTCTGCATTTATTGAGATGATCATAAGATTTTTGTCATTGGCTCAGTTAATATGGTATATTACATTTATGGATTTACCTATGTTGGACCATCCTGCATCCCTGGGATGAATCCCACTTGATCATGGTGTATAATCTTTTTGATGACTTGCTCAGTCTGTTTGCCAATATCTTACTGAGGATTTTTGCGTCGACTTGGCCTCTAATTCTCTTGATAGTATGCATGGGATAATTTCAATTCCTTTACATTTACTTAAGCATGCTCTATGAGTCAATATATGGTGTATTTTGGAATGTGTCCTGTGTGCAGCTGAGGAGAATGTATAGTCAGATGTGGGATTGAACACTATAGACATCTACTAAGTTCATTTGCTCAAAAATTTGATTTAATTCTAATATTTCTTTCTCTTTTTTTTGTCTAGTTGATCTGTCTTTTTGTGACAATGGAGTATTGAGGTCTCCCAATACAATTGTATTAGGGCTTATATGATTTTTCATGTCCACTAGTAATTGTTTCATGTAGCGAGTGCACTGGTATTTGTTGCATATATATTTATGACTGTTATCTCTCCCTCTTGAATTTTTCCCTTTATGAGGATATAGTGGCCTTCTTTGTCTCTCTTAATCAATTTTGGCTTGAAATTTACTTTGTCTGCAAATAGTATAGCTACCCCTGCTTTTTTCTGGGTTCCTGTCATATGAAGTATTGTTTTCCATCCTTTGATTTCATCTATGAATTTCTTTTTTAATTAAATGTGTTTCTTGTATGCAGCATATTGTTAGATCTTACTTCTTGCTCTATCCTGCCAGTCTGTGTCTTTTGACCAATGTATTAAGACCGTTAACACTGATGGTTAAAACTGATAGGTATTGACTTACCCTTGTCATGTTATTTTCCTGTTGTTGGCTCCCCCTTTTTATTTATTTATTTTTCCTTCCCTCTAATTGCGTCTCCTTTTAAATTCCTTCTGTTACGGTTCATGGAGTTGTAGTCCTTATTATCTCTTTCTAGAATATCCTTCAGAACATTTTGAATGCTGGTTTGGTGGTC